ACAGACGAAACTGCCACTAATAAAAAATCAGCTTTTTTTTTTGAAGGTTTACAATCTACCCACTAAAAAAAATGTCTCCTCGACATTCCTCTTAAGGATCGAATTGCAAAATCATACAAAGCAAAATCCGCTAATCAAAACTCAAATCGAATCGAATCGAATCGAAAATCAAAACTCGTTGAAATCCACCACCACACAATGCAATCAATCAAATGTCAATATGCAATGTTTCATATGTCAATATCAATCGATTAGTCAAAATCTATCTTACCAGTAGAACCTTCTGTCGTGCTGATCCTCACAGGTTAAACTTCTGTAGACTGTAGATGCGTGCACCACTGGAGGAAGTGATAGAGGTCGTGCGCAAAACTGTCTTCTTCCCTCTTGACCCGTGACAGCTTCTATCATCCAATCCTGGTTGCTGATTCTCTCACTGTAGGCCCCTCACCTTTTTCTTGAGCCAAACAGTCCTCTGCTGTCCTGTACCCGTGCAAACAGAATCAGTCCTTCCACCCAATCCTTTCTGAGGACCAAATCTGCTGCTCTTGCCCCTGCTGTTCCACCAGTGAAAGCACTGTTCCCTTCAACAGGTAGCACCCACCTGCATTGTCGTCTACCACATGAATCACGCTCCAGAACTATCCAGACATACTACCGATTGCAGATCGCGATGCAGATCCTGATGCAGATTCCTCGAACCCTCATACCTGCTCTCTTCTCTCATCTCTTCTCTATAATAATCATCTCGTCGACCTCATGCTCTCCTTCCTTCTGGTATCCTCTACCTCCAGTACGCGTTCCCAAATCAATCCTCATCAATCGAGCTCGCTCCACTAGCTCAGAAAAACTCATGGATCCGGAAAAAGTACTTAGTGGATGCCCATCTCTGTTCAATCGATGCAGGAAATCTATAACATTCTCCTCGCGTAGGAATCAGATGAGCAGCCGTACCTCGCAAGAGCAGTAAACCGCCTGCACTCCATCACTGACTGGCGCCTTGCCCAAATCTCATGAAAGCTTCCTGCATCTGTCGCTACTGACGTGGTACAAAACCCCATCCTAAACACTGCCTAGTGAAACATCATCTCCAAGGGTGATCTCATCATTGGTCTCCCTGAATTTCTCTCTCTCTGTCCAATCCACCATCTCTCCTTCTCCTTTCAAATAGAACACAGCCTAATGACCTTTCTATTTCCCGGAACAACTGCTTGCTGTCAAAAATCTTTTCTACTCTCAGATCCAATCCTCAGCAGCCCTGTGGTCCCACAGCTCCTTTAAAAACAACGAGGCTTCAGCTTGTGGAACATCTGCAAAGTCTGTCTACTCTTCTTCCTTGCTCCACTCATCTTGCTCTGGGCATCCCCCATAACGATGTGCATGCGCATAGCCCAACTGCCATCATACTCTCTGAAGGCACTGAGCTGCGCTGTGTTGCTCATTTGGTACACTGGATTCTGCGGAGGATCCATATCGTTTCACCGCTGCCACAATTCAAAAACAGACATAATACGCACATGCAAGGAGTATGCCAATGATGCCTTAAAGCTAACCCAATCTACCCCAACTCTCAATCCAAAACCTACAACTCTGGTAATAATCCATTTCTCTCCAAATAACACTCTCTGATACCAAACTGTGATGCCCGAGATCTAACTTGAAAGAATGTCAATCAATTCTCCAAACAATTTACCAGAGTACTAAAAACCTCGGAATAAGCAACAGTCTATCAAACATCTATGAAATTTAAAACATCAATATACAAGTCGATTCATATCTCAAAAGTCATGTACAATACTCAGGAACTACACTACAATCACCAGTTCTGAAATCTATCCTGAGTACAAAAGAATCACTATCAATCAAAAGACAAAAACCTGAAGATCTGGATCAATTTCTATCTTCTGCTCCCTTGCCCTGACCTGAAAATATCAACCACATATAATGAGCTTTACAAAGCCCAGCAGGTCACCTAATACCTATAACTGAAATCAAAGCACGGCGATGCTATCAATATGCATGTCAATCTATCAATCTGAATCAGTCAATGGTCAATGAGTCTATGCAGTACGAAAATTCAATAGTCAATAAAGCCAGTCAATGCAGCAGCAAGCGAATCGATAAATCAACTCAATAAATCCATGTCAATCTCGAAGAAATCCGTACACAATAGGAAATCAATCAATCCGTCAAATCAATCGCTATCAAATCAAATCAATGCGGTCTAATCAATACTATTTATTCAATGAAATCAAACGAGGAAAGCAGTACGATAAATCTCAATTTAGTCTAACAATGAATCCATGCAGCAGTCAATACGGTGCAGAAACAGTAACAACAGTGAATCTCAAGATCAATAAATCCATAGGCAGTAGTAACAATAAATCTATAAGCAGAAATCAATGAATCTATAGGCAACAGTATCAATGATTCTATACTATTCATGTCCATGCTATCAATGCAATATCTATATCCATCCATTTCTATATCAATGCTCAATGTCGATGCACAGCAATCAATCAGTGAAATCAATGAAATCGTACGAACTAGTAAATCCGATCAAAGTCGATAAAGCAGAAATCTATAAAACAATGAATCCATAAAGCAATACAGTAAACATGCAATTCAATACTATATACTGGACAAGTATAATCAACTGGTCATGTTGCTGTTGTAGAATCCATATTGCTGTTGTAGATCCGTACATTGGTTCTATCAATAAGAGTCGTCACTCTTTTCGCCCGTCGGCATTTCTATAAACTCCTTATGACTCCCAATCGTTATATCAATGATCAATGGTTTAAAGGAAAGCCCGTCGGCCCACCATCCTGTACAGGTCAATATCTATCTCCAACCAATGTTCAACCAGGCTATACGTGTTTCCCAGTATCAATAATCAATCAATAATCAGTTCAATAATCAATATTATGCAATCTATAACAATCATATCAATAATCAATAGCATATCAATCTAATCTATCAATTCCAGAAAATTCGGAAATCATACGAAAATCGGGCAGCGTAACGGCAGTCGGTCAAATTTACACAAAAATCCTGCAAAAAGACACAATTTCCAAATCTTTCCAAATTACAGACGAAGGTCCATAACATCAATACAAGACTATCATTCTATAGAACCCAAATCAAATCAAGTCCTGAAAATTTTCTATTCGATTAAAATCGCGAAGAATCAATTCCGACCGGTAAAATCTTCGTAGAATACAGTCAAATCGTGTGCAATAATCATATCTATAACATATCAAAAGTTGTGCGGTGAAAGTTGTGCCAAATCCAAATCACGTCGAAAAGTAGACTACGAAAACGCAACACAAATCATAACTCGGTCAAAACTCAATATCTTTGAAAACAGAAATAGGGTTCGGAGTCCTTACCACGAGATCTTCACTTTTCCCAACAGCAGCGTCGGACGAAAAGCGCTCCGCGGCCTCCAAAACCAAGCTTTTCCTCATTTTTCCTTTCTCTTTCTCTCTCCTCAAATCAGATATTTTATTAAAAAATGATTTTCTCTCTCATCAAAACGATCAGATTTTCTTATATCATTAGTCGGATCGGCCCAGCCGATCGCCACATCGTCCCAGGACGATCAGACCAAAAACGATCGGCCTGGACGACTCCCAGAACTATCTGCAGGCCGATATTTTCTACAGTGCCGATCGGCCCGGACGATCTAGAATCGTCCTGGACGATCCTGAGAGGAAAAATCCAAATCAGAGAGGGACAGTAAGGGAACGAGGTCTCACACATTCCATCTATATCTTACAATTTAATCTCTATTTCCAAACTCGTCAGAGACAATAATCTTTCTATTACATTCGATCCTAATGGCTTTGCTTGTAAGGATTTGCAGACGCACAAAACTCTTCTTCAAGGACCGTGTAAGGATGGTCTCTACCCGATTTCTATCAAGCAGCACGGACAAGTTCAAAAGGCTCTTTCCGTCGTCCACATTTCTTCAACAAACTGGCACGCTCGATTGGGCCACCCCCATCACCGAATTCTTGCTAAAATTTCTCAGAACAATCCGACTTTACACATTAAATCTCAGAAAATAACATGTAGTTATTGTAATAATTGTAAAAGTCATAAGCTTGTATTTCCTACTTCTGTTCACAAAACTTGTACTCCTCTAGCTTTACTTCACTCTGACGTTTGGGGCCCTTCCCCGGCTCCCTCAAATCAGGGACTTCGTTATTACCTGCTTATAGTAGACGATTTTTCTCTGTTTAGTTGGATGTTCCCATTTACATTTAAGTCTGATGTTTCCAAAATTTTTATCAACTTTATTACGTTCATTGAACGACAAACAAACAGGAAAATACAAGTCATTCGGTCCGACGGTGGCCGGGAATATGTTAATCACGAGCTTGACGACTTTCTCAAGCACAATGGCATTCAGCACCAGTTATCTTGTCCCTACACCCTCGAGCAGAATGGGCTTGCAGAACGGAAGCACAGACATATAATCGAAACCGCACGGACCATGCTTCACACGGCCTCTATGCCTATTACCTAATGGCTGGATGTTGTGGCCACCGCGGTCAACTTAATCAATCGCATGCCTACTCCAACAACTAACCACGTTGCCCCTATTCAACTTATGTTTCAAACAAAACCAAACTACCTGCACCTTCGAACATTCGGCTGCGAATGTTTCCCGCTCATGCCAAGCCACTCCCACAACAAACTCCAACCGAATTCTGTATCCTGTACCTTTCTTGGCTACACCGACAATTACAAAGGGTATCGGTGTCTGAACAACATCAACAAATTCAGATCCGTTCGTTTGCGGGGGGCTATCAGAGCATAAATTGTAATTAGCCTATTCTGTATGTATACCGGCTGACCAATACTTTCAGCCCACGTGTAATATGAATTAGGCAAATGCTATATATACCACTACCTGTAACAATGTAACGAGACAAGAAAATAAGACTTTACATTTTCTCTCTGTGTATTCACTTCTCTCTTCCTTTCTGTTCTGATTCGGCAATTCTTCAATATATTATTAATCTTAACATAAATCTAAAAATTTTAAATCCCGCACAAAACATTTTGCATAAATATATCACTCACACATTTTTTTTTCCGGTACACATTCAATCAACGTTCAGCCACATCGAATAAAAAGAAACACATCCAATCACATGTACATCACCACCCAACGGACCAAAAAAGACACTCCGCCTACAGTCCCACGTGAACAGCTACAATGAAGGAAAACAGAAAATAAACCGCGATACCAGGGGCAAAACGGGAAACAGACCCACTCTGGCCGGAAGCCGCAGCGGCGCGATCAAACTGGACAGAGTCGGCGGCGAGCGGCATGTTCTCCTGATCTGGACTGCATCGGTACGGCGGCGTCGGCGGGTGAGGGCTGTACAAAATCGCCCTCAAAACGGCAGATACCGTTGGGATGTAGGTCGACTTATTCCTCGCCAGTAGCCAAGTTAGCCCCATCAGCCGGCAGTCTCTGTCCATCATCTTCTCCTCCCTCTTCCCGTCGCCGCCGCTTCCGCCGTTCCCACTCTTCAGCTGCCAAGTTGAAACAAGATCAAATCTTTTTTCTTAGAAAGATTATATGATTTTCACGAAAAAAAAAAATATAGAGAGCAAATTTTCAGACGAATTTGATGAATTTTATCAATATAAAGTATATTCTAAAGATCCCAAATTAAAGTTAATAGTACTATTACCTTCGCCATTTCATTAATTTCATCAGCAAAATTATTATGTAATATGTTTTCCGTTAAAAAATGAACATTTTTTGCGCACAAAAACATTACTCAATTAGATTAATGATAATTAAGACATATAAATTAAATAAAAACCCTGAATTAACGACAACTTTATGGATTTAATAAAATTTTCCTTTATTATAAATGCCATTAATGCCACTCACAAGTGAAGCCGGGAAATGAACCACCAGATCTTAAATACGATTCTACCTGTAACTGTAAGAATGTTTCTGCAAATAGAATCAGATCTTCAGGAAGCAGTGATGAATAATGAACTTAAAAACCCAAAAATATATAAATTTCAATTTGGTTAAATGTTATTGGGGAGCGTCGCGTTGAACAATTATTCAACAATTACTATTTTATTTTTACTTATTTTATATATAAATAAATAAAGGAGACGTTTACATAATTTCTATAGCTAAAAATCAAATATAATGAAAAAATCGATAAAAAGTTAACAATTTTAGAACTAGATTTCTATTCCGAATCAAGCAAATGTGTGTCAAATCCCCAAGAAAAAAAAAATCACAATTTTGAAGATCATCGTCACCAACCTTCTCTAGAGAACCAAGGCATCGTGTACATCCAGAGTACGATGCATTACGGCAATCGCGTTCCAGAGCGCGAACTCCAGCGGTGGGCCTGACTCTACCGCCATCACCGTCTCCGCCGCCGGAAATATTGAAGGCTGCCGGGCAAAAAAGCGACCCCATTTCATGTAACCGTATACCGCAGAAACAGAGCACAGCATCACAAGATGCGTTAGGGCGAGGGAAGCTAATATCACGCGCGGCGAGGGAGTTCTGCAGCGCTTCAGCGCATTGTTGTGACTCAGTCTCTGGCATCATCGGGAGGGAGTCTCCGGCCATCTCCGGCGGAGGCGAAGACTGTCGGAATTGGAGGGCGGAGCGGGCGTGGGCAGCAAATAGCCAGGCTGCAAGAACAGGGCAGCAGCGGCTGCGGTCGAGGTTTGGACCGCGGCCGCAGGCTTCTTCGACGCCGCCAAACATCTCAGAAGATAGGTCGAGCTGGCAGGCGGAAGCGGCGGCGGAGCGGTTGCCGCCAGCGAGAGGAAAGGCAGGTACGGTGGATGATGGAGAGGGGTATCCGGCGGTGGCGGGGGGTAATAAGACGAGAAGAGCGGCTGCAATGATGAATTGCATTTGTGGTTCGATGAGATGGAGAAGATTGAAGAGATAGTACGAGGAAGAACTCAAGAAAAGGGGAATCTTGGGGGATAAAGAGCTGGGTGATTGGAGTGGATGGCTTGGACCTTATTAGCCTTTTTACTTCCACCGTTCACACTTTTTTATTTTGTTCAGCTACGCAGAATATACCAGAGGTAAGAGAGACTATTAAGTTTTTTTTTTTTTTCCTCTCAAATATATAAATTTACGACAATAAAATGAGTTTATAAAAAAAAATAAAAATATAACGCATACAAATATAAAGAGAGAGAGAGAATACAAGATACTTGAGTTTTTAAATGAAAATATTGAAACAAAAAAAAATCATAAATTTACACGGGCAACTTAATTTTTTTGCAAAAGAGATCTAAAGTATTCCAAATGAATGAATTTTGAGAATATTGATATTTGATTTGAAGCAAAATAAATACAGTGGAAGATTTCAGTGAATTTGAAATCCACCATTTAGTTCATTTTTTTTGTATATTTGTAATTCTTTAGATTTGGGAGAGTTTCGGATACATTAGAAATTCATTGCAATTGACTCCGCCTGACTGCCCGCCACCTCCGCAACCAAAAATGGCAGGCCACCATCTCCATCGTCCGGCATCAACCACCACCGCCAGCCACCTGCCATTGGCCATCACCGCCGCTTGCCGTCGGCCACCAGTCATAAACCACCATCCTTGTAGCCCGCCCGCCGCCACCACCATCCTTGCCGACCGACTGTCACTGACCACCAACCACTATTCTTTTTTCACTTTACATATATTTATTTTATTTTAAACAAAACAAAAAAATAATCTCATGCATTTTTTTACACTCATTTAAACAACTTCAAATGATTTATTTTACATTACATTCCTTTTACACTCTATTTATTTTGCACTACATTTATTTTACATTTAATTTATTTTATATTGCATTCTTTTTTCACCAAACAAACAACCCCTAAAATGAAATCATTCAGAATGTAAGCTATAAGAGCATGCTCTTTCTCTCAGCCAGAGAAGACAGGACAACAGAGTATACAACACAAATTTGACGCTTTGTAAATATGAGGAATAATATGGAAATACAATGGAATGGTGGTGACGACGATCGAACCATATTAGTCAGACAACGACAATTAAACAATAACAAATAGGGAATGATAATAAAATGGCGGTGGTAAGATGATGATATTCATGCGATGGTGGATGGATAATGACAATCAGTCAATGATGACAAAGTGATGGTGGATAGAAGAAGACAAATGATTAACAACGGTCATATGCTGATGGATGGATTATAATGATGGACGATGATGGTCAAACAGTGACAATCAGGTAATGGCGGTCAGATGACAATAATCAAATGATGGTGGTGATTGTTGGCGTCCAATATTAAGTAGAGCTCTAGAGTTCTTCAAATATTTAAGGCTTCCCTAAACTCAAATTCATGGTTTATTCATATGGACAACGTGTATCTAGTTATAGTATTTTGAAAGTCCATTGATATCTACAGCACTAAATCAAATGACCCATGTTAATTTTTTAATCATAGAATATTCATATAGTATTTAAGTGTTTTAAAATCTTTTAGGCTAGTTGGATTTGCATGTTGGTTTTGACTATACACATAATATTTGGAGATTGTTTGATCATTCAATTAATGTCCAAAATTTTTTAATCTTTCTTGAACTACTTAATTTGGGCTCAATTGTACTAAGATTGTATCACCTTTACTTTTCTTGGATTAGCTTTGTTTTGAGACTTTCAGTTTGATTATGAGTTTGTTGAAATTTTACCTAGGATATAATTGAATTTATTTTTGAAAGTTTTCAATACATGTAATGCATCAAGATTCATGTTGATGAATTGAATTTTCAAGGGATGTACAAATATTGAATAATAAAATTATTATGAAAATTAATATTATATATTTAAAATTTATGATGATAGAAATATTTAATGTGTTAAGTTGTATGAATATCATGTAATGTCACATCTAAGATTAAAGCAATATACAATATAAAAACTGTGAAAAACTATGAGATTGAAAAAATATGGAGACTCGCATGTTAAAATTGTTTTATTAACATAGTCAAAGGATTACAAATAATGTCATACATAATTAAAGGAGTTAATCCAATGTAACAGACATCAACCATTGAAGATGGCTAATTGGCTATGGGTGATAATTAAAAGAATTTTAATGTGTTGTAGTCAACATGAGGCGATGAATATATATCAAGAAAAATAACAAATACGTGATAGGCTCGAGTCTTCATCATTAGAAGATCGATCTAGACAATTCATTCTCTAAGATGTTGGCATATACTAGATCAAACCTATTAATAATAGGGTAATGATTTTTGAGGTGGTTGGAGTTGGAGGCTTGGAGGAGTTAGCCTTCGGATTGAAAAGAAGACACGGTCATTGGTGGAGCAAAGGCTTCACTAGAGCTCCCAAAGCTAGGATTTCTCGCTCTTTTACTTCTCTCACTATGAAGATCAATTCTTGCATTGACATACATCCTATAATAAAAATTTGATCATCATTCACTTTTATAATACTTACATTAAAATTTATAGCAATCTAATTATCTTAAGTTAAGAGAAAAGAAATGATAATGATAGTATATTACTTATAAATAATTTAATAAGAAATTTCTCGTGACCTTTTTTTTTTCACCTTATCTTTTCTGAATTAAAATTTTCTGCTCAAGTAAACCAACTATTTGTAGTATAATGCCACTGCTCTCATTGCCTTCTCATGCAACGCCACAGGCCGTTTGGTGGTAATAAAAAATGTTTAATTGCAAGTTCCTCGGCATGTTTCTTAGTAAAAGGGAAATGAAATGAAAATCAACCTAATCCTGGAGTTCAAAATCAATTGCAAGTACATTGTTTATTGAGAGCAGTGATATACATACAATTAGTACAACAGTGTGGCAGAGAGGTCCGGGAATCGCGAGAGGATAAGCCGATTATTTTTGGCTTGTGAACGGCATCTCGGTCGGAGAAGGCAAGAAATGTTCGTATTCAAACTTGGGAATGAGCGACTCAAATCACATGAGCAGATTAAATATTAACTAGATCTTGCATCTATTTTATATAAATTTTAGAGATATTAAATATAAATATTAACACATCTTAAAGTTAATCTAAAAGTTAAAAACTTAACACAAATTTTTTTTTGGGTTGTGTTCATATACATACTAATAAAGTGTGAATAACATCTTTCATATAATTTAAAACTATTAAGAGAAAAAAATTGAGATACAGGTAGCTTGTTAGCTTATAAATTCATCTAAAAAATAGTAGATATTAGTATGATTAAAAACAAGAGTGCATCTTTCCCTGAAAGTTTATCTATCACATAATAACATTATGAATCTTAGCTCAACAAACTACAATTTAATTAGTGAATATATAGCAATCAAATACGAATCAAATTAATCTATTTAATCCAAACTTTGGTGGTGAGATCAAAATAGAGAAATCAACATCCCCGAAAATTTTCTTTATTGAATAATTTTTAGAAGTTAGAAAGCATGTCATGATCATTAGAAGTAGAAAGTATGCAATACAGCAATAGTTTAGCAAAAAAAAATGTCTCACTAGATAGAACTTAAGAAAAAATAATTTTTTCCTAAAGAAATAAATAATTTTGATTATAAATTATTTCTCATACTAAAAATTTAAAAGAAGAATGATGTGATTTGTAATATAGTTGGTTAATTTCCACCCACAAAAAAAAAAAAACTATAAGATTAATGTTCCATTGTTGAAATAAATTCATACTAAAAACATTTTTATGTTTATCTTGCAAATTCATGTTATAATAAAAAGAGTATAGTAATAATCTTGTAACAAATAAGGACTACGATTACTCATAAGGCTCCAAACAAAAGTTTGGCCCTTTTTTATTCCATGAGATGGTGGCTCCTCATTGAGTCATCATCCTTCCCTTTTTTCCTAAAATCATTGAGAAAAAAAAGGTAAAGAAAGGGAGACAAATGACGTGAGCTCTCACATGGAAAGCTTCACTTTATTTATACCTCGAGAAGATAATCATTAGCTAATTTATTACTTTAATGATCGATTAACCCATTGGAATTCACAGGAGGAGCATAAGACAATAGGATTATTGCCATCAGGTAAGAGCTACAGGCAAAAGGACATGCACTAATGCTGATGAGCATGGGGCAGTGTAGCGTTGGTGGCAACTTTTTCTTTTTTTTTTTATTTTTTAATGTCTTGCTTTGTGAAACAGATGGTGACAAATAAGAAAGAAGATTCTTACCATAGCACTTTGATAATACAAATTAATAAAAGAACTAATCACACTTGCCTAAAGCCTGGCTCAAATCCCAGGGCGATTTGGTCTTTTTGGGTTGGCTTTTTAAGGGCATATTTTTCTAAAATTTAATGTTTTTTAAAATTAATTTAAAAATGAATAAAACAAATTAAAATGTTATGAGAAGCAGAAGTTTTGTCGAGTTTTTCCTCATAATTTTCCAACAGCCTGCTCCTGATCGCTGTCTTCCATACCAATGGTCTCGGTCAAATATAGTGCATATAATTTAATGATTTTTTATTTAAATAATTAAATATTATAAAAAATTATTGGAAATAGTTTGGTTCATTTTTTATCATATATTTTAATAATTATTATTTTTACATCCTGAAATATTCATGCGCGGTAGAGAGAGATATAATTTAGCTTCTTAGTTATGTACGAAGATTTAGTACATGGATAGATAAAAGATAAGGTTTAACATTCATAAGAGACACCAAAATTTTTACGAGTAAACCCTTAAAAAAGGAGGAAAAATCTACTAATGTTTGCATTTGATTACAAATGAGGCCTTTCCTTGCAGGGAAGGTCTTGGCTTGATTTACCAAATATACATCATATATAGTGCATTACATGGTGGGAGTTGAAAGAATAACTATTGACATGTTCATTTGGTCGGTAGGATCATAGTAGACGAGCGATGTAGGTCGGAAGGAATGTAGTCGAATGAAGGTGGTCATAATGATAGTAGTCGGGTGACAGAGGTCGAAACGACCATAATTGAGCGATGATGATCGAAAGGACCGTGGTTGGTGGGCGACGGAGGTCAGAAATATTGTAATCAGATGATGGTTGCTCAAGAGACCGTAGTCGGTGGGCAACGGAGATTGGAAATACCGTAGTCGGGCGACAGTGGTAGGAAGGACATGTGAAAGTATGAGAGAGCCTCTTTTTCATCTTTTCCTATTCACCTTCTTGTGAAAAATAAGAGGCTATTTATAATTTTTAGGAATGACATGACCAATGAATAGGGAAAAGATAAAGGACGAGGTAGGAGTGTTTCCACAGGATGGTTGATATCTACTCCCTTGATAATAGACCATTTATCAAGACTTAGAGTGCCAAAACGATGTAGAATTCGACAATTTTAGGTTCCCAGGTTTCTTGTTGGGCCACTTGATTCGTCTATAAGCATGTCACATTTGAATGTCATTTGGTTATCCAATTTATACTTTGAATCCTCTAAATGTACTATGGACCCTTCATTTAAACCCATTTGGGCTCTGATTGTATCGAATTTAGTGTTGTTGGGTTCACCTTTGAAATCAAAGTTCAAATGGATCCATATTTAATTTTGGAAGTTTCCAATCAAAATGTGTCTCAAGATTCATGCTTGAGCAAATTATTTTTTTTAATGATATATTAATTATTATTATGAGCAAATATTATACAATTTTCAAAATTTTAATTTAAGAACTACACCTTAATTTGTTTGAAAATGTAACATATATAGATCAAAATAGACAAAGCTGTACAAGTTTAAAAGTTATAAAAATTTTTTACATCAAAAAAATCATAGCCTTACCTAATGGGAATAGATCCACTAACTTTAAGATTGCAATCATTCATCATTCCCTACAACAAAAATAGATGAAAATATAATGTACAACTTTTTAGTAGGAGACTATCTCACGAGATAGTAGTAGGTGATGGCAAAAGTTATAAATGATGATGGTCGACATCCAACATTACAGGTTATGATTTTTTTGATGTAAAAAATTTTTATAACCTTCTTAGGTATCATCTGACATTGATGGTCAAAGAGTGTTGAATAATATTGATCAACGGACGTCTAATGTTGATGAAACATATATGAATAATAAAAGTGTTCAACTATATTTTTCTCATTAAAAGAGAGGCAATTGGGTGGTCCTTTTAGCACATATCAAATGTTAGTGGTCCTTAAACATATGCTTTCGGTTGGTGATAGCGACAATTGATAGAGAATAATGAAACTATTATGGATGTTGGGCAATGCTTGATGTTGTAACCTAATTGGGGTTAGTGATGGCAACAAAAATCTTCCAGGTGCTTCTTCCTTCTTTTCCTACAGGTGTGGTTGTTTTGATCGTCTTTCTATGGATTTGTTGCTACTAGCTGCTTCTGGTGCTCGTTTTGTTTTTCTATTGTTTTTCTTTTTCTTTCTTTTTTATTTTAATAGTTTTGATCATTTAGCTCTTAAGTTTGCTTCAATTGCTATATTTTTTTTGTGAGCTTTCGAATATTTTAAGAACTTGTAACATTTCTTTTTTAATAAATGCATAAGCCCCTATGAGGATTTCCTCCAAATAAAAACTAAAAATAACTTCAATAATTGGATAGGAGTATTTCATAAAAAAATGTGGCATGCACACACTAGGCTTGAAGGCTATAGAAATTCATTTCATAGTTTGTCCTAAAAGAGTAGGAGCAAACAGAAGCAAAGAGGAGTAAGCAACATCTCTCTACCCGGATAATGCTTCTCTGGCTGCTTTATACGACTATGTTAATTGGAACCTGCCAAATTTTTGTTCTGTGAACTTACAGAACCTTATTTGCTCGATTCCTATCATAACGAATGTTCAAGGGAATTGCTTACTTTGGGATTCTACAGATTCTTACAAGTTTGGTAATTTCATTCAAGACTATCACAAACATGATGGTGAGGCCTTATGGAGTAAATTTGTGTGGCATAAGCACTTTGCTCTTAAATTCTCTATTTATGCTTGGCTTTGTTTTGTTGGGGGGTTGAAAACAAATGATGTCTTATGGAAGAGGAATGTTCTGGTGGATCCTTTCTGCATTTTCTGTCACAATGGTTTGGAAAGTTTCACCCATCTGATCTTCAAGTGTGATTATACATTTAGCATCATTACTAGCCTTGTTCCTTCCCTTAATACCTTTCTCTTGAGGCCTAATTTAAGCTAGATTATGGAATTTTTATCTGGGAACGTCAATTCGAGTTCTGGGAGCTTACACCTTAATTTGCTGAAGATTTGGGCTTTTGTTTATACCATTTGGAGAGAGAGAAATGCTAGAAGATTATCCAACTGCTTTAAAAGCAACAAGAGACACCACTCTTAAGAAAAACAAGAAAGAAAACTGTCTAGTCCTCCTCAAAGTGTTGCGGCACTAGTTTGAAGCACTGTGATGCTCAACACTTAGTCTCAAGTCCGACTGCCAGTATTGTGGTGCTAAATTTAGAACGATGTGGCGTTAAGATCTCTGTCGTTTCTCCCAACAAACTTTGCAACACTAGGTGCTCAAGAACACAACATTGAGGCGTTGTACGAAAAAAAAAAAAAAAAAAGCTACAAAGCACCTACACCTCCCAATGAGCATGACAAATTTAACTAAGATCCAATGTAACAGTACAATCCAATTAATCGATACAATCAAATTCCACACAAACTAACATTATTGATATATGAGTTTCTAATATATTTCCTGGAAATAACAAAATGTACAGTAAGGGATATATATACATTAGAATGGAATGTTTTCACAAGGCTAAATCTGCAGGAAAATTATATGGTACCATGTTGGCGGAATAAATACCATGAAATTTAAATCAAAATGAATATAGAGTAGGAATAGTTACACAATATTATTCTGTTAAATGAAAGGTGCTAGGAATAAAAACAACCGTTTGTACACTTCTAAAAACAAAATGTAAACATTGAATCCAATTTTGAATTTAACAAGCACATATCTGAACTTATCATCGCATAAATGGAAATATGATAAATGCAGATTAATAAGAACAGTATAGAAAAGTTAGCAACAATTTTCAGAGGGGAAGAAAAAACTCCATTTCAGAATACAGCAGTAGTTCCCATGAAACATTAGAAAGCAATCGTCAGTTCTGAAACAAATATGATTATGTGTCTTATTTTAGGTTGCTTTACATCGAGCAAGATACTAAAAATACATTAAAAATACTAAAAATTTTAAGAGATTTGATAACACAAGTAATACAGAAAAACTGCATGGTCACGTAATTCAGCAAATAAACTGGAGTGTAAAACTCATAAGCGCACTTCATTAAGTAGTGAAAATGAGATAACAAGCAATAAGGTAATAGATAGAAAATAAACTAATATTTTGTTTACGTTCTTTTAACATATTTGTTTGTAATTTAACAAATAGCCCCCTAAAGTACTCATCTATTATTTGTTTGATAGCAGATTATTTAATAACTCATTTGGTGTTTATTTATCAAGCCCTTTTCCATTTTTTTTCAGTGCAGGTGAGGCACCTTGATTTAGGAGAAAGTGGAATGGAAACTTGCTCAAATCTTACATGGATTGATTTTATTCTCATTTTTAATTAATTTAAATTTCGAAAGGAGTAAAAATCATACTTGAATTACAAAAGCCTTATGAACAACAATTAAAACAAATAAACATACTTGAGCATGGTAGAACTAAATGGCTTGTTCACAGCCCTAAAAAATACTTAAGCTCACCATATATTATATATCTCTGGATGATAACAAATAGCATGAAATGAATGCTAGAGCATCCCTGCAATCAATGTCGGTTCACTTGCACATGAATACGATCATTCCTTACGAATGATGAGGATGATATGATCTATTCAACAAATACAAAAGAACTTCTGCAAATGCAAATACCTATGGGCAACACTAGAATATTTGCATGCAAAGCAACTTGCCCGTAGGTAATGGTAGAAGGCCTGTAATGCATACAACGATCCTGTCTACAAGAAACAATAGTGGACTTGCCGTAAGTATGATGGATTCTTCACAAACAAAAGGAGATTACAACCAGTGCAATACACTACATGTAGACGAAGTAATGAGCTTGTGATCAATGCAAGCATCTATGAGAAACTACATAAAACTCATCAGTGCACGACAGCTCGTCTACAAGAAGCAGTGAGCGACTCGTAGCACAGAGCTATAACCCACCTGTGGGTAATGTTGAAAAATCCACGTTGAATATGGTTCATCTATACGCAACATCGGGTGATTTTTGAATGTCCCTGACTACCTACAAATGAATTCAACAAAGCATGCATGGCACGATAGGTTGCTTGAAAGAAGCGACGAGCGACCTATAACATAGCGCTATGACCTGCTGATGAGCAAAACATACACTGAATGTAGTCCGCTTGCATGCAACAACAGGTGACTATTGGTTGTCCACTAACGACGCACTACCTACAAACAAATTCAAAAAGCTTGCATTGCACAATAGCTTGTTGCAAAGAAGCGACGAGTGACCCATAGCACAAAGCTACAATTCACCTGCAAACAAAAGCAAAGAATTTGAAGTAAAAATTATGGAGCACTGGTTGAGGGGCCCTGGTGTATCGTACAACATATTTGCAGGAAGAAGTATACCAATGCAGGCTGAATATTAAAGAAAATAACAACTTGCGGAAGATGAAATGAGACTCGCTGCTACACAATGCGACTAGATCCGTAACCTAATTGTATAAGCGGACAGAAGGCAATAAGTCTTTAATAGCTCCAATTTATATGTTAGAAACACATCCTACATGGGCCCCGATGAGCGTGATCTATGCACACACACAATGTCTGAGGATGCTATGCAGATTAAGAAATGAACTTAAGATCAAACTCGATCCTTCTATATGAATAGATAGGAGTCGACATTGCTGGAACTGTTAAACAAATATACGGTCAGAGCACAGACTGAGATATTTGTTCTATTACAAGAAAAATTCACTATTAAGAGCATAAAGTTGATAACGGAATCAGATCCTCTGTCAGCAAATAGACAGAGTTGACAATGTTCAACCAATAAAATGAAATTGCCTATGAAATCCCTGATAATGGTTGTGTTGACAGGAAATTTCAACCGGAGGGATCCCAAACTTTTAAAATGCCTCTCAAATTTCTACAAAAAAATATATAAGTGATTTTAACGGCCCCCCGATGATGGCATGTTGATAATAAATTTCAACTGGAGGGCTCAATTCTCAAAAGCTTATAAAAATTTCAAAATCTAATAACCAAAATATAAAACTAAAACCCATCTACCTTTGGCAACCGTTTATCAGAGATGATAAATTTGAAATTAACCTGAATTCATAAATAGCGGATGTCATGTAGGGTGCATCACTAAGATTCATCCTCAAATAGTTTCTTACCAACAGGGATGTGGCACATGCACTTTGATCAAGTGATTTTTTTGCAAAATGGCATAATTATACTACAATTACAGCCCGACCAAAGCACGAATATTCCCTAACGGCGTCAAACCCTTAAGTAATGATTCATATGGTATATTCGATAGACACAAAGCCCTTTTTGTCAGCTAAAGTGGATTCAAACGTATCCCCTTAGACAAAGACGACCACCACACGTCTGCAAAATATTCTTGGACGAAGCAACACATGACTGCCAATAAGGTGTCTTCTGTCAGGTTGGTTCGACTACCTTCTTTGACTAACTAGACCAAGGACCATGACAACCTGGGACACGGAACCATGGGATATTGATCGCGCTCGTCTTTATTTCCCTATCACTTGTTTTAAGTATATGGTGATAAATTTCAAAATTCAAATTCAAACTCAAACCCTAAAACTGTTGCCATTATACGCTGGGTTTGCAACCTATGCGACCTATCTTACGACTAGTCTTAATCGAAAGTTCTCTCTCATTATCGAGATGGGTAATTAACTATAGCAACTTGTGCCTACAGGAAACTAGAACTTAGATTATAAAATCCTTGCCATGACTTATCTAAAACCAAATCTGCCTTTTGAAAATTTATCCCGAAACTTAAATTCATCAAAACTCTCATCGCCCACATAAACAAACGACCAAAACAGCTGGCGCAGAGAAGCTAGGGGCGCAAAATTTTCGGATCCCACTATCTGTTGATATATCAAGAATTAGTATGTTACAATGTACACAATCTCAGCTTACTATCAGAAAATTTTAATGAAATCTTTTGGGAATTTGATTCATACATAATTCAGAAAACGAGGTTCCAAACTAATATTTGGCAAGTTAGTAACAAAAACGAGTAATCAATATTGCAATTACCATGCTTGCATATGCTTCAAAATAAGTTTAATTTCACCTAGAACAGCCATAAATAGTTAAAATGATGAAAGAAAATTAGCTATTAAAATACATAAATCATCTACTAATTAAAGAGCAATATGCAGCAAAGAAGAAAGAGGCAGGGGAAAAGCTAATTCTAATAAATAGAAGTTCTAGTCAAAATAAAGTTGCTTTGAGAGGAACCCTTAGTTATTCTTTATACCCCAAATTATCAATAAGAGAACAAGCCACATTTTGTACTAATTCACAATTTAAAAACTGTTATCCCCACAAAGGTATTGAAAATATTGCATTCACAAGTAATTCTGCTTCATTTTGTCGGTCCTATTTTTTTAACAAAATTGCGCTTGGGGATCGTTCCTGAGATAAACTTTTATTTAGGTTGCAGTCACTTTATCTGTAATAAGAGTATAAGACTAATCCGAACCACATATAGAAAGATGAGCAACACTGCAATTTTATGGTTTCGTGTGAAAGCATATTATTCAGGAGAGTTGTTACGCCGGTTCACGTAGAGCTGGCCCGTTGGCCAGCTCAATACACCTACAGGTCCACCTCCTCTCATCCGTTCAGCCAAACATATGGGGCCCACCCCATCCAATTGAATTTCAAAGGGAATAGAGGGGGGCGGCTTGGCTTTTAGGAGGGAAATTGGATTAGGAAAGTTTGGGTATTAAAGTTCATGAGGGAATTGGGGAGTTTTATGTTTTGTTTGATTAGAAATTAGGGTTTCTTGGCGTGTGGGCTCTAGACGCTCTTGTCTAGAGATTTGGGAGAGACGATCATCCTCTTGGATTGAGGATCAATTGTATCTTGTTATGTGTTTGCTTGGCATTGTTTCTCTTATTGCAATCCATCGTTTTGGGGCGGATTTCGCCCAGATTTTGCATTATTCTTGCTGTTTTCACCAATTGGAGATATGTTTGCTTGCGAACTCAAGTATTACCCGTAGGGTTACTTGTGAACTCAAGTAATTCCTATCAAATTGGTATCAGAGCAAGTCATGGGATTGATGGAGGGCTATTTTCGGCAAATTTCAACGGTGAATTTTTGCCCAGAAGGAAGGGAGATTGCTGTTTTTGGAGTTCCAAATCCAGATTTTGTGATTTTACAAACACCGGATTGTGATGGCGGCCAAAAAGGTGGATGCTATGGAGGAAAGGCTTGAAGGAGAGGTGAATCAAATCAAAATGACGGTGAAGGAAAGAATTTCCTCCATGGAAGGACAAGTCACCGATCTCCGGGACATGATAAAGAAGATGTTAGAAATTCAAAATCAAACAGCAGCTTCCGTGGAAAAAGGAGGGGAAGGAAAAAGTACGAATTCAAAAATTCATAGAGAGGAGGATGAGGTGGAAATCATGGAAGGAGAAAGAAGAAGACCCCATCTGGAGCCTGTCTAGAGGGAAGAAAGAGGGGGTGGATATGGGGAACACCAGGAGGGATACTATGGTCACCATGATGTTGATTGATAGTGGGACCCAGGTCGTCGACTAACTGAGAGTGAGATTGGTGGATATCAGCTGTTACGGGATGATGATGGGTACGAGAAAGGTGGAGAAAGGTCAGGGGATTTGCAGAGGAGTGCGACTGACGATCCAGGGGATACAAGTGAGGGAAGAATTTCTTCCGCTAGAGCTTGAGAGTAAAGACGTCATCCTAGGGATGAAATGGCTGCAAACTTTGGGTGACACCAAAGTGAATTGAGGAGCACTCACGATGGAGTTGATGGTGAATGGGAGGAAGGGGGTGATTAAGGGAGATGCGGGGTTTTCCAAATCCCTGTTTCTCTTAAAACGATGGTGAGGGACATTCAGTTGGCAGGTGGAGGGTATTTGGTGGAGCTGCACAGTTTGGAGGGAGCGAGATTGGAGGAGGGAGGAGATATACCCCTATCCATTTAGCCGTTGATTCAGCAGTTCCAAGAGTTGTTTCAGCCACCTCAGGGATTGCCACCGCAGAGGGAGTAGGAGCATCCATCGTGTTGAAGGAGGGAGTGTCGCCCATTAGTGTGCGACCATCTCACTACCCTCAGTTCCAGAAGGATGAAATCGAAAGGTTGATTAGAGAGATGCTGGAGGCAGAAATCATCAGACCCAGCATCAATAACTTTTGTAGTCCCATTCTGTTGGTGAAAAAGAAGAACGACAACTGACGTTTTTTGTGGACTACAGAGCACTCAACAAGGAAAATGTACCTGACAAGTTTTCTATACCAGTCATTGGCGAGCTGTTAGATGAATTGAGTGGGACAGTGATCTTCAGCAAGATAGACTTGAAATCATGTTACCATCAGATACGGATAAAGGAGGATGTACCCAAGATGATCTTTAGAACTCATGAAGGACATTATGAGTTCCTGAATCCTGGTGATGTCTTTTAACCTCACCAATGCTCCCGCTACTTTCCAAGCCCTTATGAATAAGGTTTTCAAACCTTATCTCAGACGATTTGTATTGATATTCTTTGACGACATCCTGGTCTACAGCAGGAGAGGAGGAGCACTGGGAGCATTTGAAAAGGGTGTTAGAGGTACTGCAGGAGCACCAGCTGAGGGCTAATTTGAAGAAATGCTATTTTGCACAAGCCAGTATAGAGTACTTGGGCCATGTGGTATCAAAAGAAGGGGTAGCAGTAGATCAGTCCAAAATTGAGCAATGCTAAAGTGGTAAGTGCCAAAAAATCTGAAGGAGCTAAGGGAATTTCTAGGATTGACAAGTTACTACAGGAGGTTCATAAAGGGGTACATAACCATAGCATGGTCACTTATGGAGCAGTTGAAGAAGGGTTCCTATGGGGGGAGGCGGCCACAACAGCTTTTAGTTTTTGCCAAATAAAATGATCAGGAGAGCAAAAGTTGAGAGAAAGAAGTCATCAGCAAACGGGCCACATGCTCACACTAGGAGCTAGCCTCTCCTTAAATTTTCAAGTTTCACACTAAAACAAGGAGTTGAAACCCGAAGGAGAGTGATTTGCACATCAAAAGAAAAATTTTATTCAGTATAGAATAAATTCTTATATGCCTTAAATCCTATTTATAATCATCAAATAAAAGCAAATAAAATAGCCTAAGAAAAGCCACCAAGAAGAGAAAACCATAGATTTGAAAGAACCAGACAAAGAACCACAACCATCAACTGATGTGGACATCCGACCATGGAGAGTTTACCAGAGCCGAGGCCGACGATCTACGGCCACGATGGCACCGCTTTACTTTTGAGTTATTATTTGTATTAGATTTATTATTATGTTTGTATTGAGTTTATTATTACATATTTTTCATTTGTACTCTCACTTGAGGGAGTAGTCCTATGTAAGCCCTAAGGGCATGTTGGTCTTTTGTTTTCCTTTATTGTATGTTGGCTATTTAAAGCCTCCCTCTCATCTTTTGAGGGTAATGAAGATTATTATTTAAAGAAATTTATGCACTTGTGTTTGAGAGAGTTGGGAGAGTTCTCTTGAGAGTGAAAACCCTAGGTAAGGGCAAGTATCACCCATCAGCCGCAGGAAGTGTCCGAGTTCGTGGTTACCCTTCTTTCTCTAATTCCCCTCCTCCCCCACTACCCGCCGGCCATATCCCCCCCCAAAAGCCACCAGCCAAGCCCCATCTCCTCCCCCATAGCCGCCGGCCAAAACCCCCAAAATCTCTCCCCCTCCTCCCAAGCCGCCGGCCAAAAACCCTAAAATCCCTCCCTAGCCACCGCCTTAAAGCCCTCCTCCTCCCTAGCCACTGGCCAAACCCTAAATCCCTCTCCCTCTCTCTAGCCGCCGGCCACCTCTCCCCCACCCCCTCGGGTCCCAAAACTTTCCAAATTATTCATTCACATACTTTCCTAAATTAATTCCTCTAAATGTGGAAACTACTTGAATTCAAATTCCATCGCATTTGAATTTAAATAACTTTCCTAAAATAAGGGAAGTTATCTTTAAAAGGTCCCTCAATTTATGCCAATTCTAATTTCAAATAGGATTGGAATTAAACCCCTTTCCTAATTTCACTTTTTAAACCTAATAACTAATTATTCCATCCAAAAAAATCCCCAATCAAGTCTATCAAGGACTGCCGCTCCTTCCCTCTATTCCCTCCTTCCTTCTTGTGCCCTTCCCCCATTTAATTCCCTCAATATTATCTCCCTCCATAGATGATAATTTCCCCTACCCATGGACGACCCAAACCCTAAAACTGCCCTCTCTCAATGTGTCAAACCCCAATTTAAACCCTTTACAGTCAAATTAGAGTTTAACAGAGAAGGAAAGAAATCTATTTAAACTCTCCTAAAACATCAACATACCAAACTCCCCACTTAATGATAGAAAGTAGGTAATGTACGTCAATTAACACCAACTATAATTAAAGTAAGTACAGAGATATACTACAACTTGCACATTTGCTTACATACCCAAAAGTCTTTGTACAGCTTACACTTGAACCTCTATGTACACCTAAAAGTATGTACACCAAAAGAAAGGTAGTCACCCCTTTAATGTCCTACGGGCTCCTTTCCCTTTCCTGCAGTACAACTGCTGCTAATGAGCTATGACCCAATGAATACATCAGCAATGTATAAGAAATAATAATGATATTATTTAACAATTAAGAATGTCATAACATTAATATTAACATGGATAAAACAGATTAAAATTCATACCGATCTTAAGAAATATATAACATTACTTTCCATCTTGCTATTTGTTCCATATTTTGAATCAAGTCATATGATGGCTATAAGGTTTTGCATCATTTCAGCCTTCTAATTCAAGAATGGGTTTAAGTTCCCAACTTTTAGAATTGAAGCTGCTCTCTCATTCGGGGTTGAGTCCAAATTTTCAACTTCTAGAATTGAGAGTATAAGCTTACCTCGTCAGGTCTTTTGCCTTTACTCATGCGGGCTTATCCCCCAACATATGACTTAAATCGCTTTATACTCTCTTTCATTTTCAGGTACATTTTCATAATCATAACCATAATTTATATAAATTGAAATCAACTACATGTGTAATTCACATATGAATCAATTGCAATAAATTGAAATACATGTTATCATGAAAAAATGACATCATAAGCGTGATAAATGCCAATTTGCAAATATATAAATTTTTTACTATTTCTTATGGATCGTTGGATATCTCACATCGTTTTCTAGAACAGTCGGGTAATTTGGTTCACTTGAAGTATCACGACTTCTTTTCCTTCTGTACACAATCTCATTTCACTCTTCTTCATTCAATTCAAAATCCCCTTTACTCTCCTAAACTTCTTTTCCCTTCCTTTCTTTCCTATTTTCCCTTCCTGAATTTAACAAACTGATTTCAATAATCATTTTTTTCAGCAAATAGAATCAACGATCATCGCTTAATTTAACAAACACTAAATTCAGAAATCTCTTATTGACTTCTTGTAACATTTTTCAGCAAATATTATAACCTCCTACCTATTTCAGCAGCACTGCAACAATAACTTTTTCTAATTTTGGCCACCACTATATCAGTTCATTTCCTCCATATTCCTGAATTAAGCAAACATCACCTTCAGCTATATTTCAACAATTCCAGAATTGTAATTCAGCACAAATATTGCAAAAATTGCTATCTCAGATTTTTTTTTGAAAGCTTAATGATGGGGACATCAGAGCATGAAAAGTATAGCTGAGGCGTGGTCGTCGATCTATGACCACGATCGAGTCGATGTGTTTTGAGTTATTTAATGTATTTGTTTTATTATGTTATTTGTTATTTATGTTGTAATTGTTTTTCCCGTTTTACCCCTTACTTAAGGGAGGTCCTACGTCAGCCCGAGGGCATTGTCGTCTTTCTTATTTTGAGTCTTATGTATGAGGCTATTTATAACCCCTATGTTTCTCTTTGAAAGTTAATGATGAATGATAAAAAAAAATTGTGGTATTGCTTGAGTTCTTGAGAGATCTTGAGAGTGCTTGGAGAGAGAGCGAGATCCCTAAGAGAGGGAAAACGGATCACCAACCAACCTTGGAGACGGCCGAGTTCATGGTTTGTTTTATCGTTCTTTTCTTTCAATCTCTCTTCCTCCTACCCGTCGGATCTCCTAGCCACCCCACCTTGCCATCGGCCAACGTCTCCCACAACCACCACCTCAAGCCACCACCCTCCTTCCCCCACTACAATCACCGGCCAGCTTACCCAAAGCCCTACCCCACAGCCGGCCCTTCATCCAACCGAACCCAAGCCCAAGCCGCCCCCTTCTCCCTTAGCTTTTTCCCTCCATCCTTGCTTACATTGATTCATTTCCTAATTGGGTTGATTGATTTAGGTAACTCATTAACTTCTCAAATTCAAATTATTTGAATTTGAAAAGTTACCTAAAATATCACTCCTATTTGAGGAAACTTTCAAAATCCTTGCCCATTGAATTAAAGTTAAATTAGGATGAAATATTTCATCCTAAATTTAACTCCATGACCTAAGGAAGCATTAATAGCTTCCTTAATTTCTCTCCCAAAACCATAGCCGCCGGCCCCTTATAGGTTCTCCATTAATGCTTGCAATTACAACCTTCCTAATGGGGTTTAAATATTTTAGGTAACTCAATTAATTTACAAATTCAAATTCATTTGAATTTGAATTTGTTACCTAAAATACCAATCCTAATTTAGAAAAGTTTCCAAATTTTAGCCCTTTAGATTTTAAAATTATTTGGGAATTAATTAAACCTTTCCTAATTTAATAATCCCAATTAAGAAGGCTTGAATTTATTTCCCAAACCTCTCCCTCTCTTTCTACATGCCGCCGGCCCCCTTAATGGGTCCCCACCTCCTAATTAATTTCCAACTTAAAGCTCTTTCCCTTTGGAAAGATTTCAAATCCTCTTTCCCTCTCTCTTAGCCGCCCCCACCCTTATTTAAATACTCCAAATCCTTTCCAAACTAAAAGGATTCGTTGGGGAAATAATTGTTTGGATTCCCTCCATCACTCTAACCAAAAATCTGAACCTAATTCTTCTTCAAGCTTCTTCCTTCGGTTGGCCACTTCCCAACCTTTCATCCATTTGAACTCTTAAGAGAAACTTCTTTCTCTTAAGGGGATTCTTCAAGGCAAGCCGAGGATCATTACCTTCAACACTTCAATGCGTGGGAGAAATTTCTTTCTCTCCAAGTAAACCTTCAAAGGAAGCTACGAAGTATGACCTCATCCACTCAACGGTTTGTTTCCGGATTTTGAAAAAGGTGAACATTCTTCCTCTTTTCAATTAACTCTCTAATCCCCTCTCCTTGTAGGTGATGACGATTCTCAAGGAGCCGAGCTTCACCTTTGCCTAAGCTAGTAAACGTAGGGTTTTGCTTCGTCGTTGCCCAAAACCTAGTAAACATAGGATTGAGTGCACTTCATTTGTTTCTAATATTATTGTTAGATTAAGGATTTTCGTTGAAAACTATTATATTTGCAGGTCGTTGATTTTCTTTGTTATTTTGATCATTCAAAGCTCTTATTGTGCAACTTACGTCTTATTTTGCCTAAACGGAAGTGACCGCTCTTACGTTTTATTGTCATTTTATTTGCTAGTAGTTATAATATTTATTATTCTAATCAATAAGTCGTGCAAGTTCTTATCAAATTACTTTAAACATTGTAGTTCTACATCACTTAACCTCCTATCCAATTTCATTACCTGATAAACCAGCTACCAAACCTGAAATTCCCACACACAACCTGCTTCCTTCAACTACAGCTCTCCCATGGCTTGCACAGCTTCGTCTCTTGAATGGGAAGGAAAATAAATGAAAGAATGGCTACAGGTGTTGCTACTATGAATTCCAATCAGACTTTTTCCTCCAAATAAACCATCATAATTCCCTCCTAATTTTGGTTTTCAATGGTAAGTAATTAAATGTAGAATAAATCCCCTTTGAGCCCCCCATGCTCCTTGTCGACCGCCATATTAGTGGGGCCCACAGGGCTCTTCTGCCCGCCAGCTGGACCGGCCACCCTTGCTAGGACGTGGTTGATTGGCTAGACCGGCTCAGAGAGTCCATCATTAACAAGCGTCAAACCTTTAAACTTGGCCTGCTAATTATACTAAAGCAATAATTAACAAATATTTACTATTGAAATCAAATTAGCTAGTCCAAGAAGATTCTACTAAAATACAACCACGATGGATTTAGATAACTAACAACGACAGGAATGAGGTAATTAAGAACAAAAATTCATTAATTGCAAAGGACACTTCACCTTTAGAGCAATTGTCTCATTGTAGTACATTTAACCAATAACAGAAACTGCAAAAGCATGTATACTGAGGCCAGATGATAAAGAAGCAAAACGTAATTTAGAAGTACCGGTAAATTCTGATGCAAACCGAATTCTCTTTTAAATATAGCTACCTCATATATTTTATTCATTAAAAAGCATGCAGGACCTTTATCAAAAAACACGCTCACCAGGGGAGAAAAAAGCATTACTGGAAAAAGGTATCATCCCAGTAAGCCTTCTTTCAATCAAATATGAAATCCCAAGCTATCCTTTGAAGAACCAAAAGAGTAGAAGTAAAAGCATCGTCCAACCTTATAAGGTTAACCAAGAGAAGAAACGATTTATTCTGAAATGGATTTAGCAGAGACGGACATGATAGCAAAATTAATATTGAGAATGCCAACACCACAACCTCCAAGCACTTTTGGAGGACAAGAAATGCTGCCATCTTTATTAGTTGTCCAGTCAGGCAGAACTGATGTACACAAGGCTGAAACATTAACATGCTTTTTAGAAGAAAGTCCAACTTTCTTTCCATAGAAAGCCTTGTCAACACGACAATATTTATGGTTTCTCTTCAAATACTTGCAAACAACTGTTCCATCACCTTTAGTCAAACTTCCAACCCGAATCTTCTGACAACAGCTTAGGCAGAATCTGTAAGTACACGTGGAGCAATTCCTATAAAAATCATTGATCTTTGTTCTGCAATTGTTGCTGAGGGAGAAGAAAAAAATGGCATTAGAGCAGAAAGCAAACTAGTTCACTCTAACTTGTTCAGGTTGCCGTTTCTAAGATTAAGATTTGCAAATAAAAGAGATATTACAAATAATGACTGCATATAATCAAAAAGCCAAAGGTCTTTTGATAACAAAAGGCAAAAATATGCAATTTTTCAACATATTCTAATCATAGATCTTGCAGAGGTCACAAAAAGGAAAAGAATTTTCTTCTGTTGCGAGTAAAAAAAAAAAGAAACAAAGAAACAATAAGCGAGATTGAAGAACATTGACATTCTGTTTATGCATGCAAAACTGAAATGTTAGCAAATAAAATAGAAAATTTGTCGAACAGCCCAGCCTTAACAGGGAATACCTACCAGTAAACTTGCTCATTGTCACTATATTTTGCAACTTCAACGCTAGCATCAAGTAGCTCCATTCCTGCACATAAATGTGAAATAGAATACAGATATTTAACACGTAGAATTGGGGAAATACACAGATGCAAACCTTGGTTATTTGCTTCTATTTCCAGTTCAGCAATTTGTTCGCCATTAATTTGCTTCACTAGTGGGATGAGATCACAAATCAAATGATGGTCATAACACCTTGTGCCTAGCTTGTTTTGACGAATTACTAGTTTCTGAAGGAATTTGAAGTTAAAAAGATTAAGAAATAACATGGTAAGTTGTATGAAAATAGAAGAAGCTGGATAAAGCTCTTGCACATTCGATGTAGCATTTCTCATTCAAAATGTGAAAGATCTCTGCAGGAAGCAACCTTAGACCCACCATCCTTATCACTTCTGGAATTGCAATTTATGCAGGTGCAGCAACCAAGACAGACAGGACAAGACATCTTGACTTCAAGTTCGGATAACTCGGAGTGCCTACAGTATGCAAAAAGGGTCTGTGTTTGTAATATAATATAGATGTGAAACAATAAATTAGTCCATGTAGGAATTAATTGCAAAAGTATCACGATGGCTTTCTTAACCTTGTTAAACAAACCTCGTTATGCAATTTCCATCAACAGCCATGTGTGGATCTTAGATTTAAGTTTCAGCCAGCATAAATAGGTTGACAAACTAACTAAATTATGTCTATGCAATTCAAAAACATCAGTCATCAGCCCGAGTCCTAAGCACCGTTGTTTTTAGTTCTTCACCATTCTTTTTCCAATTTGAAGTTCATTTACGTGTAATTCCGGGCGAGGATAGCTTTTATTTATTTATTTATTTTTTGGGAAAATAACTTCTAAACATGGTTAGACATATTAACATCAACATTAAAGCACAAGATACTAATTGGTTTTTAAAAACAGCACCGGATGGTGCACACTAGGTACATCATTTACAAGATATTAAGGGGTTGTTTGGTTGGAGGAAAAAAGAATGTAGTTTAAAAGAAATGTATTGCTTTTTTACTTTTTGATGTTTGGTTGGACAAAATGCAAAGTAAAATGAAATCCCAATGTATTACAAATTCCTCGTGGCAGTACAATTTCCGCATAAAGTAAAATCACTCATTTTGAGCGAAAAAGGAAATCACTACATGCAGGTGAGAGAGAAGCCCACAAGAAGTCACTGAAGAGCTCACTTCAACTTCGTTGTTGTTTAGATCGTTGTCGCTCGCTTCGATGACGTCCTCTTCCTCTCGGATCGGAAGGCACGGTCGCTCGCTTCGATGACGCTCCCTTCCTCTCGGATCCTGGCATTGGCATTTGCATTTCCATTGGCGTCCTGCAGTTAACTCCTCCACTCCACGAGCTTAAGGTGTAAATGAGTCGAGTCGAGTCGAGTAGTGGCCTTATCGAGCTCGGCTCATTAGTCAAAAAGTCGGCTCGAAATTGAGCTCGAGCTCAAGTCGAGCTCAAACTCGAGCTCGAGCTGACTCGCGAGCCACATGCGGGATTTTGAAAACTTAGGTGGGATTTTTCAAACTTAGGTGGGATGTTTAGCATTTATTATTATTATTTTTTTGATATTTAAATTTAATAAATAAAATAAAATTATTTTAAAAATATTAATAAATAGTCGAGCCGACTCGCGAGCTCACGAGCCGAGCCTCATCAAGCTCAAACTCGAGCATGACTTGTGCGCTCGATAAACTATGCTCGCGAGCCCATAAATGAGACGAGCTCGAGCCGGCTCGGCTCACTTACACTCCTACGCGAGCTCCATACCGCACTCGTCTCCTTTTGGACTCACCCGCTCCGCCTCGGGCTCCCTGAGACCCTCCTCGCTGTCCAATTATGTGAACAGCCAGTCGATTCGGGCATGTAGATTTGCGATGATTTATCTTTGATTCATCATTGAGAAATTGATCCGAACTGAAGCAAGTAGGTGTGTACCTCAATTCAACCATCCAAGACTGCAATACCACAGGTTTTTACACACCAATTATTTGTGGGAATGCCCCAATAGTGTCCCTTCAACTAATTTTATTTTACTTTGCACACACCCAACCAAACAGAAAAAATAGTTCCCCTGTATTTACTTTACATACAACCAAACAATCCAAAATATTTACTATGCACTCCATTTACTTTACACTGGCATTTACTTTACAGACAACCAAATAGCCCATAAGAAAATTGATGGGGACATCAGATCAGCGTGGAAGGTTTTTCAGTGACGTGGCCGCCGATCTACGGTCACGATCGAGTCCTTGTATTTCTGAGTCATGACTGTATTTCATTTTATTTATGCATTTTCTTATTTGCTTAGGTGTCGTTATTATTTCCCTTTGTACCCCTTTCATGGGAGTGGTCGCATGTAAGCCCAAAGGGCAAGTTGGTCTTTTATTTTCTTGAGTCTTTGTACCCGGCTATTTATAGTCTCATTTTCTTTGTTTTGAACTAATGAATGATTATTAAGAATTTTTCCTGCACTTGTGTTTGAGAGCATTTGAGAGTTCTTGGAGAGCTTTGGAGAAATCCCTTGGAGAGGGAGATTGGCGCATCACCCACCAACCTTGGAGACGGCCGGGTTCGTGGTTTTCTTCTCTATCTTTGTCATCGTCTCCTCGTCGAGCTTCCAAACCCTCCCACCCATTTCTCCTCCACCTCACGGCCAAAGCATCCTCACCGTCCCCTCCACCCCTCCAACCCCCTCATTCCAAGCTTGCTTGAGCCCATTGCCGCCGGCCTAAGGCTTTAGCCGCCGGCCATCCTCCACTTGGTTTCTTTATTGGGTTTCCTAATTTGGGTTTGAAATTAAATGAAATAAATTTGAAATTCAAATTCACTCAAATTTGAATTCAAAATATTTCCTAAATGAGTTATTCTATTTTAGGAAAGAAATTGATTTAAATCCAATTTCAAAATTTGAATTCATGAGGATTTAAATTAATTCTTTCCTTAATCTAATTCCTAAATTGGAGATCCCTTATTACTCTTGCAAATCAAATCCCATCTCCCATGCATGCCACCCGCCCATGCTCACACCCATTAATGCTTTATTCAATTATTTCCTAATCCCAGAATCTTGCTTAGGAAATAATTCAAAAGAGCCTTAATTCCCTCTGGACCGATTTTCCTCTCAGCCCGTTTTGATTAATCAAGTTTCCTAAAGAGTATTTTAATTTTGGAAAGACAGCAAGCCTTTCCCTTCTTTCCTCTGCATTGCCGCCACTCCTCACGATTCCTCTCTGCCCACACCCGAACCCCTCTCTCTCCCAAATTCTCCCTCCAGCCATCTCTCCCCTCTCACGAAACCCTCTGTTGAGATTTTGGCCTAAGCAAATCTACACATAGGGCCATTCTCACATTAGAAAATCTGAGATTTTCTTCTCAGATTTTAATCAGAAAATCTGAGAACTTTCTCAGATTATGGAAGGATTTGTTCTTCAGCACACCTTGAAGAGAACGTCGTAGCTCTCCAACCTTGGATAATCTTCAAGAGTAGTTGCCACCGTGGAGGTTCTTCACGTTTCCTTAAGCAAAGGTTTTCTCTTTCTCACTTGCATTTTATTTCTTCTAGATCTAAATTCTCATTGGATGGTTATCATCACGAAAGCTCCTTCAAGTTGCTCTTGCCAAGCTTAGTCATTTGTAGGAATTGAGTGTAACCTTCTATGCATCCTACGTCTCGTTGTTAGATTAGGGATTTAATTTGAAAACTACTATTCGGTATTGTTTTTATTTTCTCAATTATCTTGATAGTTCAAATTCGGAGCATGTGATTTCGCCTACGCAATTGATCGCTTCATTTGTCTTAATCGTCGTTTGAAGATTGCTTATAATTTTATTCTGAAATTATTCTAATTCACTAGTTGTGCAATGCTCAAATGAAACCATAATCATAGCATCTAAATTAGTCTTGCATCAAAAATCTTGTTAGGAAATATCTGCTTGTTTATACGGAAGCTCTTGTAAGGAAAGAATATGATAAACACATAAAACAAACAACAAAAAGATCAAGACAAACAAAAGCCACCAAAATCTATGTGATTCAGCCAAAATAATTGCTTACGATTATGAAGAGGAAATAGGAACTATCACACATGGCCACACAGGATTGTGTGGTGGTATTTTTTAGGAGCATTTGATAGAGATCTTCATATCGATATGATTCAGATTTTTATGGCTATTTATCTTTTTATGTGTGGTTATGGTATTGTGCAATATATTAGAAAAATTTTAGATAGGTTTGTGAGATTTGAGGCTTCTTTTACTGGTAAGACTATGAGTAATTGGGTTTCAAAAGGTTGTTTTATTAATTATCATTCTATTTGACTTGGCCTTTAGATATTCTCTTAATGGATGACCATGCAAATAATTAACAAGAATCACATGCTAATCCTTTTCATCACCATAACCATAATTATCTCCCTAAAACACCACAATTATTTAGATCCAAAATTACAAATAAAAAGATTCCATGCACCAAAATTTAGATCCTATGCAGTGTAGTGGGGCCCATCTAATATTATGCGTATATTCATAACATATCTGTGTCTTAACTTAATATAATAACATTATAATGTTGAACTCCTCTATGATTCCTCACTTAATTGAGGCATCTAAATCCCAAAGGCTTGCAGGGATGTGTAGTACACAACCACATAAGGTCCCACATTAAAACTTGACACCAACAAAAGACTGTTGAAATACTTCTATTGCACATTAATATGTATCCAACAACGCCAAAAATAAATATTTCATTAAATCTTCTTTCGAAATGGTTGTCTTCTCGCTCAGAATGCTGCAATGGTAAAATTTGACATCAAGACAACCTATGTACAAAAGAACAATCAAACTAATCATCTCCAATAGTATACACTGAATTTGATCTACAACCATAAAAATGAATCTTTTCTATTCCACTGTGCCCAATGTATATGATAATGAAACTAAGGTTTCGTTTGAGACAACTTACTTTCTGCTTCTTAAAGCAGTTTTCTAGTAAAAAATTTTTAATTTTGTACTAGAAAACTGCTTTAAGAAGCAGAAATAAAGCCGTCCCAAATGAAGCATAAAATAGCTTCTTTCAAAATAGCACCCTGTGATGCAAAATCCATCAAGTCACTTTATGACAACTAGTACACCTTTATAAAATGTAAGAAGTTCAACATCTCGTAAGAACTTACATCCTATTTGACCAATAATACTCAAAGGCATCATATTTTCCTGAGCTCTAGTACATGTCAAACTCAAGTTAATGCCTTAATCACACCTTCAACTTAAATATGACAAAACTAATTGGCATATATGTTGCATTATTCCTCATATAAATATAGCCACGAACACATCATGTATGATTTTGATGTGGGGTCCAAGAATCTTTCAACTCCCCTGTGGGGCCAAAAACCTCCTTTATCACATCTATAGGAGAAGAGGCTTTGGGAGGAGCTCTTTGGGAAAGATGTATGGGCCATTTATTAGAGA